AGGGCTTAATTTTGTTTATATTAAATCAAGGCCTTAAAATATAATCACCATAATCTGCCTATGAAGTTCCCCTTCTCCCTGCTATAACTACTTCTGCCTAACTCCGAGCGGTCCTTCTCAGCGCCCATTCTCTCTTTAAGTTGACTCGAGACCTTGGCAGTCGGGAAGCCGAAAAAAAAGAAGCAATTTCTCCATTTGTACAAGTTCCCGCGTTGGAAGATCTTTCATCAAAACAAAAAAAAAAATCTAACATTTAGAATGTTCATTGCTTTGCATGCCCGTACAAATAGTGTGTTTAACAGAAGATTTACAGCCAAGCCTACTTTCCCATCGCACACATTAATAAAACAATATCTAATTCAGAATGGAAATGGTTTGTACAGAACTACACGGGGAATTCTAGACACAGCCATTATTATTACCTGGCAGGAATCAAGCTCTGGAAAAATACCGGGCATAAAACAACGTGGAAACGAAAGCGAGGCCAGGCTTTTTGATAAAATTTTTTATGTATTGTACCTTAAATTAAATGTAATATTTTCTTGAGTAGATTTACGCTACACTGGGTTTTGTGGAATAATGACCAGAGAAAGAAGTTGCTAAAAAAACAAAAAAAAACTAAGAAAAGAAAAAAGGGCCAGTGTTTGTGAACTTGGAAACTGTTCACAAAAACAACAACTCTACTGCTTTATGTCATTTTACAAAAAGTGCAGATAGAAATTGACACTTTTATAAATTATATTGTTACACCCCCCTGGCTGTCAATCAGACACCCAGTCCTGTTACTTCCTGGTTTGGTTAGCTCAGTGGAGCTAAACTCAAGAGGCAGCAATTGCTCAGAGCACCTGCATTGCAAAGACTTCTCACTGAGCTGCATTGGGAAGTCTGTGATTAGACAGCCACAGAATGTCTTGCCACAAGACTTGCCGTTTTAAAGATGCTCTGATCCAGTCACCCAGCCATCACTATTTAGTCCTAGATAAAGTCATTTCGATCTTTTTACTTGCCCATTTTACCTGCTTCCAACACATGAAATTCAAGAACTGACTGTACACTTGCTGCCTAATATATTCCACCCCTTGACAGGTATCATTGTAACAATATAATCAATGTTATTTACTTCACTTGTCCATGGTTTTAATGTGTTTGATCAGTGTATACAGTTTTAATAAGTTTAATTTTAAAATTCCTGCTGGTCTCAGAATCTGTTGATGTGATTTCTGTTAGTCTTTGCTTTATCTGAGTATACACATAGAATACCAACATACCCCGTCTGCAATTTGCCAAGTACATTAAATTTAATATCACTGCCTTTATATTGCTCCCTCATGTGCTAATGTGTAATATACGCTTAAAAATTAATTGCATCACCTTCCAAAGCGTCTTAACTGCTCATGAGATTAAACCCGGCTAATAATCATCATTTTAAATTGAATACTTGTTAGGAGATTGCATCCGATCAAATTCCTTTTTTTTCCTTGGCAATTATACAGAAGGAAATGTGTTAAAGTATCTGAGTATTTAACCATGGGGTATATTCAATTAACGTGGAACTGTGCTGAATTGTAAACCGCAATACCATCTATAGGGTTATGCCCTAAATAATGAAGTGTTGGCGATTCAATGTGAATTCAAGGTGAATTTCAAATTTTAGGCAAAAATAGTCAACTTTGTCTTCAGTTTGGCTCTTTTAGCTTTTGAATCCACAACAAAAACGTTGACCCTGTTCATATATGCCAACAAAAAAGTAGGATTGCAAGGGGTGGGTCTGCCCTTCAAATGGGGTGAGCCTGCCAAATACTGGGGAGGGCCCACCTGTCAATGGCAAGGGCCCACCTCTAAAGAGGGTAGCCAGACTGGCAACCTGCCCCCGCAGACCATACGCGGGACGCTGCTAAAGCATTCTGTACATTGCCCTAGTACCCAGCCCCCACCTCACCCTCTATTTTGAAATCTGCCGGCAGGGACCTATATATGCTGGGACAGTAGCCACAGATTTGTGACTTTCTCAGCAAATTCGGGATTGTTGGCACCAATGACTTTGAGAGCATTTTAGCCTGAATTTGTAATTTTGTTTCCAATTCACCATAATTCTCTGCTTAGTTAATGAAGTCTGGTTGTATAACTGTATACAGTGATGAGAGAAAATTAGGGAGCACTTTGAGATCATCGTTATACTTACATTTCTTTCAACTCGAATGGGACTCAAGCTTCACCTAACTGGGCTATTTACTAAACTGAGAATTGTCTGGAATTCTGGAAACGAATTTTAAATTTCAGGCCAAATAGTGTGAATTGGAAAAATTCAACTATGCTTCCAGTTTGGCTACTTTGGTCTAAAATGTGAAATCTGCTTTGAACTCATGACAATTCTCACTTGAGTGAGTAACCGGTTTGTCTTTATAGTAAAAAGAATATGATTTAGCAAATAATCAATACTTTGTCTTGTGTAAATGGACAGGGTTGTTCGTCTTTGATGATATTTGTATCTAAGCAAGTTAATGTTTTATCATGGAGGCCGCCACCTTGCAATTGCATCACTATAATCAAACTGTCAATGAGCGTTACTGATAAAAACAAGGCTGCAGGGGGGCATGCGATGTCAGCTGCCAATCAGATTCTTGGCTTTGTTAAATAGTTCCCAGCATTCCTACGTGCAAGAAAAGAGGACATTGTTCTTTCAGCTCTCCGATGATACTATGTGTCCAACATGCCCCATCTTAGTCGGAAACCTTTTACTGATGTTGATAAATCTTCTGTTTATATTCAAAAAATGAGCCACACAATATAACATTAAATAATAATATTAACAGTTTTTAAAATACTGTAGGATGCCGTACAATGGCAGAGCCATTTTAAGATATTGTTTAGCATACATTCCAAGCATCTTGATTTTGTCAGGACAGTCCTGCTCTCCTAACTTTGTTCTCTGATATCCTTCTTTTCTGGTCATCAGGGAACGATTCCCCAAAATTGTGCACTCGTGGTACGGAAACAGTGCTCCCGGCATGGTCCTGAGCTGGCCTGCTTAATTGGTAGGCAGCGTGGTGTGCATTCACATCAGGCTGAACTGCGAGTAGTTTGGGTGGAGCGAGCTGCCCCAATTCCCGGCATGTCCGCCCCTTTGGATGGAGTCCGTGATGCCAATTGAGCCAGTGCTCCCTTTACACTCCCACCATCATACCACTGTCCAAAATAAGTCCTAAAGCATCAATCGTCATAGTCCGGACAGACTGATGTCCATGAAACCTGTGTAGGATGTTGGGTGATAAAACTTAGTCCTCTTTGCAGACCTGCTCCTAGTTATTAATATTTTTGGCCCGCTGTGTATTTGTGTGTTAAGGGTTCTATTCCGCATCACTCACAGAGAGTCAGCTTGCCCTCCTCCTGTACAATGTACTTGTACAATTGTAGAACTTCTGGCCTTTCTAGGGACTGTATCAAATATTCAGATCCTGAGGCCACAGACTAGACCCAAAACATGATCCCGCCACCACCTTGATTAACAGTTGGGTTAAACAGACACTACACGCCTGATGCACTTCAGTGTCCTATTTTTATCATTTTACGGAAAAAGTGCAGATCTCAATAGAAATTGGATGATTTATTTATTTATTTATTTGTACCTTGGGCAGTGGAGTGTCCCTTTAAAGATTGTTCTAATGTAAGACCGTATTTACATTTTGCCAAGTAAACCATTAAACATATATTTGCTGAAAAGTACATTTTAAATCTCATCTGTCCACATGCCATCATCCTAAATATAATCGAACTCTTGTTCATGTTTCCTTACGGACAATTCATGATGTTCGATGATACATAATAGGGCTGCATATTTTTCCTCCCTTTTTTTTTAGACACATCAATACTTCTTTGTACATGTACCACCTTCCCTTTTACTCAAAATATTAACAATTATTGCTTACATCTTTGGCTGTCGAGGGTTAATCTCTACATGGTAAGAAATAATTAGGGTTTCTTTCACACGGCTGATCACGGCCTCACCTGGCCAGGAAGCATTTGTATTAGTAGTAGAATCCTTGTACTATCACATTGCTTGGTATTAATTAGCGCTGTGCTGGCTCATTCGTTTTACAGTCTTAAGGAAAGGAAAGTGCTTAATAATAGATGCTGTTAGGACGCATGCAGTATGTGCAAGAAATAGAGAAATCGCAGACAAGGTTAATCAGGGCAAACGCTTCCCATTCAAAACTTTTTTCTTCACTGAACTTCTTCAAAATGCATTTTCCAAGTCCCAGACATCGCAAATGTTGAAGAATATTTTTATATTATATTTACTTAAAGGACCACTCTAGGCACCCAGACCACTTCAGCTTAATGAAGTGGTCTGGGTGCCAGGTCCAGCTAGGGTTAACCCATTCTTTTATAAACATAGCAGTTTCAGAGAAACTGCTATGTTTATGAATGGGTTAAGCCTTCCCCTATTTCCTCTAGCGGCTGTCTCATTGACAGCCGCTAGAGGCGCTTGCGTGATTCTCACTGTGAAAATCACAGTGACAGCACGCCAGCATCCATAGGAAAGCATTGTAAATGCTTTCCTATGTGACCGGCTGAATGCGCGCGCAGCTCTTGCCGCGCGTGCGCATTCAGCTGATGGGGAGGAGAAGAGGAGGATCGGAGGAGGAGAGCTCCCCGCCCAGCGCTGGAAAAAGGTAAGTTTTTACCCCTTTCCCCTTTCCAGAGCCGGGGGAGGGGGTCCCTGAGGGTGGGGGCACCCTCAGGGCACTATAGTGCCAGGAAAACGAGTATGTTTTCCTGGCACTATAGTGGTCCTTTAACTGGAAATAGTGGAGAACTGACAAGGAATTTGGAAGTTTTAGATCAAACTAGACAAATCAAAAGTTTGGGAAATAGTTTTATGTGCTTGGCTATATTGGATTGGGCACTTAAAGGGACACTCCAGGAACCAGGGTGCACTCGTCGAACGATTTAACTCCTAAATTGCATCTAGTGACAATGTGAAATGTCACTTTCAGGAAGAGCGGAGTGTCGTCGGGCAGGGGTGCCACTGATTGGCTCTTTCTGCCAATCAGTGACTACCCATAAAAAGATAATAATAAATCAGGTGACCGCTCTCAGCCAATCAGTGGCGCCCCTGCCCAACGACACTCCACTCTTCCTGAAAGTGACATTTCAGAAGCCGGATGCCGTCTGGGGGGGGGAGGAATTGGACATTGTCACTGGATGCAATTTGCCACCACTGGATACAATTAGGGCTCAAGCCATTCGAGAATGATTTAATCCCTTGAGGTAAGAGTAACCCTGTGGGCCTTCTGATACCATAACAACTTTGTTTAGATGAATTTGTTTTGGTGCCTGGAGTGTCCCTTTAAAGGACAACATTCATGAAATGTTAACTTCATGTTCTTAAAAGTTTCACATTTAATGAAACGTAATGATATCTTTTAAATGATCTACACTGAATAAAATTATAAACGTAACACTTTTGTTTTTGCCCCCATTTGTCAAAGATCGAAGACTTTTTCTATGTGCACAAAAGGCCTATTTCTCTTAAATATTGTTCACAAATCTATCTAAATCTGTGTTCGTGAACACTTTGCCGAGATAATCCATCCACCTCACCGGTGTGGCATATCAAGATGCTGATTAGCATGATTATTGCACAGGTGTGCCTTTGGCTGGCCACAATAAAAGGCCACTCTAAAATGGCCAGTTTTACTGTATTGAGGGGTCCCGGTCCACCAGCCAGTGCAACACATCTCCTTCGCATAGAGTTGATCAGGTTGTTGATTGTGGTCTTTGGAATGTTGGTCCACTCCTCTTCAATGGCTGTGCGAAGTTGCTAGATATTGGCAGGACCTGGAACATGCTGTTGTATACACTGATCCAGAGCATCCCAAATATGTTCAATGGGCGACATGTCCGGTGAGTATGCTGGCCATGCAAGAACTGGGATGTTTTCAGCTTTCAGGAATTGTGTACAGATCCTTGCTACATGGGGCCGTGCATTATAATGCTGCAATATGAGGTAATGGTCGTGGATGAATGGCACAACAAAGGGCCCCAGGATCTCATCATGGCATCTCTGTGCATTCAAAATGCCATCAATAAAATGCACCCGTGTTCATTGTCCATAACATATGCCTGCCCATACAATAACCCCACCACCACCATGGGCCACTTGATCCACAACGTTGACATTAGCAAAAAACTCACCCACATGACGCCATACACGCTGTCTGCCATCTGCCCTGTACAGTGAAAACCGGGATTCATCAGTGAAGAGAACACCTCTCCAAAGTGCCAGACTGCATCGAATGTGAGCATTTGCCCACTCAAGTCGGTTACGATGAACTGCAGTCATGTCGAGACCCTGATGAGGACGACGAGCATGCGGATGAGCTTCCCTAAGATGGTTTCTGACAATTTGTGCAGAAATTCTTTGGTTATGCAAACCGATTGTTGCAGCAGCTGTCTGGGTGGCTGGTCTCAGACGATCTTGGAGGTGAAGATGCTGAATGTGGAGGTCCTGGGCTGGTGTGGTTACACGTGGTCTGCGGTTGTGAAGCCGGTTGGATGTACTGCCAAACTCTCTGAAACGTCTTTGAAGACGGCTTATGGTAGAGAAATGAACATTCAACTTATGGGCAACAGCTCTGGTGGCCATTCCTGCAGTCAGCATGCCAATTGCATGCTCCCTCAAAACATACGACATCTGTGGCATTGTGGTGTGTGATAAAACTGCACATTTTAGAGTGACCTTTTATTGTGGCCAGCCTAAGGCACACTAATGTCTAATCAGCATCTTAATATGCCACACCTGTGAGGTGGATGGATTATCTCGGCAAAGGAGAAGTGCTCACTAACACAGATTTAGACAGATTTGTGAACAATATTTGAGAGAAATAGGCCTTTTGTTTAAATAGAAAAAGTCTTAGATCTTTGCGTTCAGCTCATGGAAAATGGGGGCAAAAACAAGTCTTGCGTTTATAATTTTGTTCAGTGTATATTTATTTTTTTGTGAGACATTTACATTTTTTTTTTTTTAATCTGGCTGAGTGGCCATGTTGGGTCAGACTGCAGCATTATCTGACCAACTGCTGCTCAACCTAGCTTGCGGCTGCTGCAGTTTAACACCGCGCAATCACAGAAGCAGCAAGTTAGGCTGAACAGCAGCTGGTGGAATTTGACCCAATAGGACTGTTCTCTTCTGCAATAAGGGGAAATAGCTAAAGTACTCTGCAAGGGGACGAAAGGTCGCAGTAGTCTCCTTCAGTAGAGTTAAATGTTCCGGGTGCTCTTCTAGACCAATAAGGAAATGGCTCTGGCATTCTCCAACACAAGGGACAAATCTGGAAACCGTAATTTGTCTACAGTCCAAAATGACGGCCCTAGCCATCTGGCTATTAACTTTCTGTTCACATAGTCACAGCTCTCTTCTCTATCATTGCTGTCTCCTGCGACCTTTTTGTCAAAAATCAGAGAAATATAACCTCCGTATTATGTGACTTCAGAGAGTATTGTGGATAAATTCATTTTTCTCGGATCAGGGAACTAATTTGTTGACTTCTGAAATCTCCAGTTAGCAGCTGGTGTGTTTATTCGATTGGTTCTTATTCTCCTATCTTTGCAATAGCCCAGTCTGCACAAGATAAAATAATCTAAGATAAACCCTTTATACACAACCCTTCCTCCTTGGGTCACAGGTTGTTGACGCTAGTTTAGAATTGTGACGAGACCAATCTCGCCACATTGCATTGGAGAAGCATGGTTGCTCGCCTGCTGCCTTTGGACTATGGCCCCCTGTTAAAAGACATCTTTTTTTACCTGCAGAAAAGCTTCATTCGTGATTTTCTGCCTGGGGTTCGGTAGATTTGTTTGAATGTGTTATACCCCAGATAGGAATCCCATGGAGCCCATTCGTATGAAACTGACTGTAAAGACTTTGGCTCCATGGCGATTAAACTGTATTCGTGTGGTCTGAGCGCCATTCGCTTAATAATGTGCGCTCGGACCTGAGCTATCTGGGGATATGTTACATGTCTGTGTTTTATGTAATAAATGTGACTTTATGTATTTTAAAGTGTTTTGTGTCTTTTTGCAACCATGTGCTTAATGGAGTCTTGTGTCTGTCCTGGGAGATAATTGAATTACTCTCCAGGATAGAAGACTCTGAAACTGGTTTGGGCCAGAAAGCCATGCTTCATTTAGTCACAAAGGACTTTTTACTAACTTTTGAACCCCTTGTCTGATTTGTGCCATTTTTTTAATATGTTGCTCCCCTGAATGGATTGATTCCAAATATGTAATTTGTATGAAGATTGGATGTATGGTTTTAAAGTTACAGGGTATGGGGAAAAACTGTTCTGTTTTAATTATGTTATGGGATTATCTGAGGGATGGGAATTTCCCCGAATGTATATTGTTCCGATTGGTTATACTGCTATTTATGTGGGTGTCTCCCTTGCATGGGCAGAATCTCATAAAAGCAGAGTGTGTGCCATTAAACATCAGACCACTGCTTGACCCTCAACACGGAGCCTTGTCTCGTTCTTGGGGGGATTCACTGTATGCTGTTAGAGACTGATTGCCAGGAGTGTAAGCTGATTTTCTGCTTTTCCTGTTCGTCTGCTAGCAGCTATTTGGGAGGTTCCAGTTCGGGAGTTGGAGTGCTATTTTGTATCCAGTTTGGGAGTTTGATGTTCTGCAGTAGCTGTGTCTGTATCTCTGGAAAGGGGGCCGATCGCCTAAACGGTTTTTACCCCTTGTGTGCAAAACGGTCCGTTACAAGAATCTTTCCATAAATGAAAGAGTTGTGTAAGTTCACGTGAGCTAGCCATAATGACAAACGTACTAATATTTTATCCGTATCCATGAATTAAAAATGTAAATTATTTTATTGCACGCCCGCCTGCCTTCTCATTAAAGTCTAGTAAAAATTTTATTTCAAGACTTGCGCATAAATTTGAACAGACTGTTAATGACATGCATTTGTGTCAAAAGGACAGCCACGATATTTTAGATTTTTCTTTCGTTCATTTCTTCTGTTGTCGTAGTGTAGAAGGTACACGCATTGGTGAACTTTCGGATTCAAGGAGAAACTGTCAGGTCAATGATAAATTGGGAAAAAGGAATTTAAATCGTGACAGTGTAGAAGACTTTTTTTTGTGTTCGATTTTAGCCATTTTGATCTGCCTGCTAACTGGAAAAGTCATTCAAGGTCATGCTTGCTGGTAATGTAAATGTTCCGTATGAATTATAATTTTAATGTCACTTAATAAAAATTTATGTTTTGTTAAGCTGACATGTCAACTATATTATGAAGATGAGATATAAAGTATTTACAGCATAATATCCTTGGTGTTTATAGTAACGTTTCCCTAGAAGATAAAGTGTCCTTTTTTGGTAAATACAGAAAGAAAAGTGTTTTGTTGTTGTTTTTTTTTAATAGGTTAATTCTGCTGGCCCAATTATTTAGAATTTAGTTTTGATGACTATATCACAGCCTGGAAATCTAGCAGATTTTTCAAATTATCAGCAAATTGCTGCTTTTTCCACATAGACATTAAATCAAATAATCAGTTTTTAGCAGGAAAGTGACAATCTGGAAAAGTAAATGTTTTTTCCTTCTATATTTATTTAGACCAACTCCTCTGTGCGTCAGCTGCAGTATGAATCATTTTTTTTCAGGTATTGAAATGTTGAAAATGAATACGTTTTATACTGGATACCACAACAGGGGTGCTCAATATTTCGAAATGTTTCTATACAATGCTTGTTTCTTATTTTAATTCTATATTATTGTAATAGAAATTTCATTATTAAGCAATGTTAAAATTGAGCACAAATGGTAAAATATAATTTTTTTTAAATTTGTAAAACTTCACAAACTCACAGTTCCATGAACAAGTGATCTGTGCCAGAATAGGGTGCAACGATCTGTGCCAGAGTTAGGGAGCAGCGATCTGTGCCAGAGTTAGGGAGCAGCGATCTGTGCCAGAGTTAGGGAGCAGCGATCTGTGCCAGAGTTAGGGAGCAGCGATCTGTGCCAGAGTTAGGGAGCAGGGATCTGTGCCAGAGTTAGGGAGCAGGGATCTGTGCCAGAGTTAGAGGGCAGCCATCTGTGGCAGAGTTAGGGAGCAGCGATCTGTGC